AATTTTAAAATTGGTGGACTAGATACAGTTAGAAGTCACATGTAATTCTTTGATGAGTATAGATGATACGCACCATATATGTAATTACAATTCCTGACATATTGTTTGACTGTTATATTCCAATTTATATATAAAATTCGTTGAAACAAAAATTTTTAATTAATAAAAAAGGGGGGACAGAACCAAAATTTGTTGAAACAAGGGTTGACTGTAGTATTTCTTTATTGAATGTTTTTAATACATAGGCTTGTTTTTTCATTATATTATCTACTTTTCAACTTTTCATTGACTTCATCAAATCAACACTTCACCTTTGATCATGAATTATCATCAATTATAACAATAACAATATAGAGTTTATTGCATCAAGCTGAGAATTAATATTTATATTTTGTAAAACAAATAAAATGAATAATTTGAATAAAATGAAATAATAACAATGATCCTAATAAGTAAAATTTTAATCTACACATGTAACTGTAAAATTGCCAATTCCCATAATTTTTATCAGACATTCTAAAATTTATCAGAATGCCCAGAATTTTATAATAGGATTTTACACCCTGTTTTGGAGGTAGTTTTGACTGGAAGCCTTAATTTCATCTCTGTTATTAATTAATTCATTTTTCAAAAAATACACTTTTTCTATAAGGTCTTTCTTTACTTTCCATTCATTATCTTCTTCGTCCTCCTTATCCTCATCCATGATTTCTATCCAATTATCAGGTAAAATATTCAATTCTTTAGGTTTAGTTGAAAAAAAAACTTTGTAATCTTTGAACTTTCTGCAGCAGCTTTAGTAAGAGTGTCACCTGGATCATTCTTATCATAATAAGTGTGCTTTGGTGCTTTACCTTTCATATAGTTGCCTCTTTTCTGCTTTTCCAATTGTACATCATTTTCCCACATTAACTATAATGATTTATCAATTAAACCCCCAAAAACCACTTGTTCTTGTTCCATTTCTTCTTCTCCCTAACTCTCCATTATTATCAATTTATCCAATTCTTTCTCTTCATCATCAACCTTATTATTAGTATTACATATTTTCTTTGTTCTGTACTCACCCTTTGTATCTCTTCATTTTTGAATTTTTTGCAAGTCTAGTTTTGAGAATTTCTCTTTTTTGGTCAGTCCTTTTCAAATATACAGAACCTATGTGACATAAGAATTAAATTTTTAGAATTAATTGGCAAACACTACCACCCACCCCAGCCCACAAATTTTAATCATTATATTATTGATTATAATTATCCAGGGGCCTCGGTCAACCCTGGATTTATGTATCTGCACATTTTTGTGTTACTGATTCAGAAATTTTTTTTTTAATGGACAGACAAACTTACACTCAGAAGAGAAATGCGACTGGTCATCATGCTAAAACTAACACCGATGAACATATTTTTTCAAGCTCTCTTGACGATTACGAAATCCATAAAAATAGGCCTATAGGTGTAGTATTTAACAATTATTTATTATACTTAGGATTAATAAATCAAACTTAGATGTTTAACAACGAGTTTATACTTTTAAATATGCTTTATAGGATATGGCGCGTCTGCCGTTGTATATAGTGCCTTATATAAGCCGCTTAACAAGAAAGTAGCTGTCAAAATTATTGATTTGGATTATTTTGAACGAAATCAAATTGATGAAGTTAGGGTGTGTAAAAATTGAAAATCATATATAGTGTATGGTTTAGATCTTGCTTATAATTACTAAAGAACAAAATCATAATAATTACGCACTTTTTGATTTTGTGTATACATAATATTTATAGAGAGAAACGCAATTAATGTCCTTGTCAAAACATCAAAACGTATTAAGAGTTTATTGCTCTTTTGTCAACGAATCGAAGTTATATATTATAACACCATACATGTCAGCTGGTATGCTTTTACTTAATAAAGAATTAATTGGTTTTTTTTTAAAAAAAATAAGCATCTTAAAGTCATTCGCCATAATCAATTAGGTTCCTGCTCAGATATTATGAAGTCTTCATATCCTGAGGGGCTGGAAGAGACAATTATAGCCACCATTTTGAAACAAGCACTTCAAGGATTAGATTATTTACATAGAAATGGTCATATTCACAGGTAGATCATATTATAATAATTTGATAATTGGTAATAAAGTTTTGTTAATTTGAATCTATTGTTTTGTATTAATTAATTAGAGATGTAAAAGCTGGTAATCTTTTGGTGGATGAAGATGGATCAGTATTACTTGCTGACTTTGGTGTGGCGTCTTCTCTAACTGAAAATGGTGAAAGGAAAGGGCTTCGGAAAACTTTTGTTGGAACGGTATATTGTAAATTATTTATTAAATACATGCATTTGTATTTGTAATACATTAAAAATTATCATCAACATTATTAATTTAGCCATGTTGGATGGCACCTGAAGTTATGGAACATGAAGGAGGATATGATTATAAGGCTGATATTTGGTCTTTTGGAATAACCTCTCTTGAATTAGCAACAGGTCATGCACCTTTTGCAAAATATCCACCACTCAAAGTAATTGAATAATGAATCAAAGGAATAAATTTTTTTTTTATAAATTATTTTTAAATGATTTATTATTATTAGGTTATCATGGTGACACTATCAAACGATCCCCCCACTCTTGAAAGAGATTCAACTAAACATAAATATTCAAAATCGTTTAAAGAAATGATAGATTCATGTTTGCAGAAAGATCCAACAAAAAGGTATTTGAAATTAACTAATTATTACTCAAAATATTATTATTTATTAAAATTTAAATTATTATTATTATTATATTGGTTAGGCCCAGTGCAGAGAAATTGTTGAGCCATTCTTTTTTTAGGCAAGCTAAAAAAAAGGAATACTTGTATAGTAAATTATTGCAAAGTTTACCACCATTAGAAGATCGGCCACACAAAAGTATAATTAATTTATTGAAATTATTATTTTCTATAAACATATGAAATTTAATGTTACTATAAAAACTTTGTTTATTCTAGGGGTTCAGCAAAAGCCTATTAGCTATACTAAAGGAGTTACATGGGATTTTGCTATTGATAGTGAATATCGAAACGAAGATACATTAATTGAGACAGAAGATATGAAAGTAAAACAAGACAAAAAAGCTGTAAAATTTACAATGCAATCTGAAGAATCTGAAATTGATAATTCAACTAATACTCAGCCAAAAAAATCCAGATTTTCAGTCGAAGGACAACCACAATCAGAAGAGATTATAAAAGGAAGATTCAGTATCATTGAAAGTAATTCATCGAAAGAAAAATCAACCCCAATAAATTTACCAACTGAATCGGATAGTAATGGTCAAAAAATATCTTCGGTGCAAGAACAATCTAATGAAAGTTTATCAGGTGACACTTAAATAATGGTATTTGCTTTACATTATGCAAATTATTTTGATTTTGAATGGTGTTTAAATAATTTCTAAATGGGAATTTTATGAAAATATTTATATATGTGTATATGAAACATAGTTATTCCATCCACAAATACCCCTAATGAAAGTCTTCTCCAGCTCCCTTCATCACTATCCCGAGATTCCTCTTTACAGAGTGATTCTTCTTCAATTGAGGAGATTTCTCAAGTCAAAAATAATCGATTCCAATCTGGCAGTAGCATTAATACTGAATCATCTACCATCAAAAATACAGAAAAAATAGTGGGCACTAAAAAAGGTAGATTTGAAGTATCAAATTGATGAATGGATCATCGATTACATAAACAACAATAATAAAAAGATTTTTAATATTTAATATTATTGTTTGATTATTTATTATTTATGTTATAAAATATATTCATATGTTATAAAATCTGAATAAAAATGAAATCTTTATCAAGTTTTGTGCCCCAAATTTCCTTTTTTTTTTGATTGGTCAGAAAGGTCTTAGAGCCGGCCCCAAAATATTCAAAAAAAAAAAAATATTAACCGACCGATTCCATATATTAATTTTTTCTCTTAAAAAATGTCTTCAAATCAAGGCTCTTCTTCTTCTAGTAATCAAAATGATAACAACATAAATAATAATACTGGTGATGATAGTGGAAATAAAGGTGAAAGTAGTAAAAAACAACAACAGTTGAAATCAAATCAAACACAAAAAGAATCAATACCACAACTTGGTGCTTTAGAAGAAGATGATGAATTTGAAGAATTTGCTGCTGAAGGTAATTGATAAATATTATTATACAATATTATCAATAATTAAGTAAATTTGCTTTTAATATATTAGATTGGAATGAAACAGAAGAAGATCAAGAAACTCATTTATGGGAAGATAATTGGGATGACGAAGATATTGAAGATGATTTTTCCAAACAATTAAGGTTAATAATTTTATAATATTTAATTTCATCTATTTGACGGTTTTGGTTTTTTTAAAAACTGAGTTTATTAAATTATTATTTAATTGAAGAGCCGAAATTACCAAAGCTACCAATGCACCACAACCAATGAGATATTAATTTGTTATTTAAAAAAATAATAATTTTTAATTAGAAAAACAACTTGTACTTGATTAAATTATAATTATATATTTTAAAAATATGTTACAAATTAAAATTAAATTATTTGTTTGTTTTTTTTATTGCTTTAGGTTCAGGAAATGTTAACGGTAAACTTAATACTGCTCTTTTAATGGAACTTACTCCTCCTCCTACATTGCTTGTTAATCCTAACGCATCTAATTCTTTTTTACTTAAATTTTCAACTTTACAACCTAATGTTTTAAATAAACTACTAACCCTATTAAACAATAATAATATTAATTATTATTATTTTCCAAAATATAAATTCAAAAAAAATATATGTAATTTATTACTTTGTTTTAGTTAAAAGCAAATCTTGAACTAATGCTTCAGTTTCTACTCGATATCCATCCAACATTAAACATAATGTAAACATCCAACATAGTAATTTATTTTCTGATTTTGTAGTAAATTTAAATCTATTTTTAATTTGTTAATGCATGATTAATAAATAATTATCATATAATAAATCATGATAAATATGACACATACATATATATATTACCTTGGTACACCACCTTGTTTTTTATATAATTTTTCTGTATATCTTTCATAAAGCCCTTCTAAAATTTTTCTTGGTGGATTGTTTAAATTTTTTGACATTATATCTTGGTTATTAATACTGGAATGTGCAAAACTTCTAAAACTCATCATGTATCCAATATATAATAATATTTTTATACGTTTAGTATTAATTTTTTTAAGTGATAAAGATGGAAATAATCGACTATTGATATATTTAGATGTTCTAAATAATATAATGATAATGATAATATATGATAATAAATATTTAATTGACTTTTTAAATTAATCTTAATTAATATTAATTCTAATATATACTTGAACGATAAATGTTCCAATACTTGATTATTATTTTTAATTGACAAAATAAAATCAATATTAAGCAGTTCAAACTCTTCTTTTGTCAGAATGTCTTCTAAATTATAAACTTCATTTAATTTTGTTGCTTCAAGGTTATATGGAGGTATCAATCTATTTTCTTTTTGTTGAATTTCAACTTTCATTTCCACTAATTTTCCATTTTATGTTTAGTTTACAAATCAAAGATAATCAATAAATAAATGTACAAGTAAATATACACGTTCATATATATATATACCTTCATTAGACATTGTTTTGACTTTTTCGCCAACTACTTCAACAAAATTTTCAATGCCTTCCATTTGTGATACATCAATTTTGCCTCTTTGAATCGCATTAATTTGTGACTGTCTTTTCTTAGTGCTAAATTCTAAATCAAGAGCGTTTCTAGCAGTAGCATACTAAAAAAAGAAAAACAAATAAGATTTATATATATATAATATATATACATAACAATATAAATTTATTACATCTTTAGGAATGTCTGGTTTCTTTTCTTTTTCTAATTTAATGCGTTTAGGAGTAGCTTTAAAACTTATAACTGGAATTTCTTTAAATGTTATCGTTTTTGTTTTTTTATTATAGATGGCAATCATGTAACTTAAAAATAAAACGATTATAAAGTTTCTATAATTATATGTTCATTATTTATATAAAAAATTTAATAATACTAATAATGATTAAACATACTCATTGTTTGATTGATCATTATCCATTTTTTCTAAGTTTCTTGCTTCATAATTAACTCTCTCATTTTGACTTGTAACAATACACTCTTGAAAAATAACAGAATCAGACTTTTTGTAAACTTGAAAATTTAAATCCATCGGAGGTGGAATTCCCGGAAACATTGCTACGTTAAGGCAATGTTAATAAACAAACTTATTAATTTCACTGAAATGTCATAATCGTTAGCTTGAAAAAAAATCTTTATGACATGCTTACCTAAAAATGGCCCTTCTGATTGTTGCTTGTTTTCCATGTTTTTTGTTCAGTTTTCAAGTGTGATTCACATCACGCAGTGTTGACAATCCAATTGACGTAGCAAAAAAGTGGCTTGGTTGTAGTGGACATTTGATTTCATTGGCTAAATTTTGTGATGATCATCATCTATTTTATCACACAAAATCAAATTTTATTGGCTTGATGATCTATTAGGTGATTAGAATTTATTAATTTAATTAATTAATACAGTCAGACTCCTATATAGTCACACACCTCGGGACCATAGTGAAATTTCAAGAATTTTGGTGACTATAGTGTTCGTGACTATACAGGACATGTTTTTACTATGATTAATTAGTAGCAGGGAATTTTTCAAATTAACAAAAAAATGTGACTACACTATGTTGTGACTATATAGGATGTGACTATATAGGAGTCTGACTGTATTTCATTACCTTCTTTATATTATGTGCTATTGATATTTATATAAGTCTTCTTACCATATAATGAGAATATAAAAATAAAACTTCCTGTATATAATTACTTCTTAACCACTATCTATTTATTTATTATTGTAATTCGGCCATTCTTGACAATACTTTTAAAAGAGCCTTTTGAAAATGACTTGATCATTTGATCGTATTTTACCTACATATTGAGAAGATAGAGATAGAAAATGTATCTTGGCCCAAATCATTCGACTGTTATGTTTTTTGCCATTTTCTCTAAATTTTAATAACCAACATTCCACATAAAGCTAGGCTTATTTCAATTACCCATCATGTTTATAAAGGTAATGTTCTTAGTTTTGAAGTGAAAAGTAATGCTATTTTGAATAACTATAGCTTTGCATAGGGAACTTTCTATCAGGATTTATTAGAAAGCTTTAATAGCACAGTTTTTATAAAAAAAGGTTGGTTACACAATTCTGAATGATCAACTGATGCCATAAAATTTGAAAATTAGTAAAAATAAAAAATAATGAATAATGAAATGTCAGAAATAACAATAACGGTCAAATGTTCTAATGATACAAAATATACAGTAACCACAGATAAATCAAAAACTGTTTTAGAATTTAAACAGCTTATTGCAGAAAAAAGTGAAATTCCAGCTGATAAACAAAAATTAATATACTCTGGTAAAGTGTTAAAAGATAATGATACTCTTGAAACCTATAAGATTGCTGAAGGACACACAGTTCACATGGTGAAAAGTTTAGGAGCTCGTGGTATGTTAAATGAATAATATATATTATATTGTGATCTATTTTTTTACTATATATACAACAAACAAAATACTACAAGTAAAAATTATTAAATGTGGACATTTTCTAATTATACTTCAAAAAATTGTTAGTTTCATCTCAATCAACAACACAATCTGAACCAACTGCTACTTCAACAACAAATACTACCAATAATCAATCAACACAACCACAAAATATACCTCTTAATCCATTTACAGCACTGGGCGGATTTGGTGGAGGCAGTGGAAATTTTGGTACTAATAATGACGCAAATCTTTTTAGTGATAATAATAATGGCGCACCAAATATGAATATGATGATGGAACAAGTTCTTAATAATCCTGCTTTGATGCAATATGTTTTACAAATGATGCAGGATCCTCAGATTATAGATAATGTAATTGCCATGAACCCACAACAATTTGGTGAAATGGCGCCTCAACTTAGACAGATGACACAAGATCCCGGATTTCAAGCTTTATTATCAAATCCAGATGCAATCCGTCATATTGCAACTTTAAATCCATCATTGGGCAATCCTGGAGGTTATGGCATGGGTATGTTTCCTACGAACCCTTCCGCAACGAACCCTACAACACCTACAACTACAACTACTACTTCTTCAACCAACAATAATAATGATAATAACACTACCACTACACCTTCCTCCGCCATCCCACCACCAATTAATAATCCATTCTTCAGTCTTTTTAATACTGCTGCTACAATGAACCCTACTAGAAACCCAAACACCAACCAGCAACAACAACAACCGTTTTTCCAAATCGATCCATCATTGCTATTTGGATTAGGAGGTCTAGGTGTTCCACCAACAACTGCACCTACTATTCCACCCGAAGAAAGATTTCAAGTTCAATTACAACAATTAAATGATATGGGGTTTTGGGATGCACAGAAAAATATCCGTGCGTTATTAGCCTCTGGTGGAAATGTAAATGCAGCTATCGAACTACTTTTAAGTAACACTTTTTAATTAATTATTAATTCAATGAATGAAAATTATTGATTGGTTTGGTTGGTTGGTCGACTAGTTTAGTTAATTAATTGATGGTTGTTTTTTTTAAAATTTTTTACTAAAGGAGCTTTTAGGAATTTATCATTTGTTATTACATCATTTTAATTTATTTATATATATCTATCTATATATTTTATTATCAAAGATTATATATATGGTTCTAAAAAATTTATTTAAAAATAAAATGGTGCAACGTTTTTTTTACCTTTTTGATTGAATGATTCCCTATTTCCTAGAAATCTACATCTCACAAAGTTCAAAACGATTGTTATTATGTTAATTAATTAAAAAACTACTCTTTGTTTAATTTAGAAAATTTTCATCGTGATCGGAAATAATCATGCTGTTTTCAAATCGTTACTCCTCCTCCATTTTCAAAGATACAGGCACCAAAGTTGCACGAAAAGATGGCATATAGGTTGTAGTTTACAGCAATGGAGAGTTATAATAGGACCGGGAAAACCCTATTGGATGTGACCGCCAACATTATGATTCGAAAGTACTTTAAAAAAAAAAAATGAGACCACCTCATCATAGATTCGCATCAATAGAAAAAAATGCCCTCGGTTACACTGATTCGCAAATATAGCAATAGGAGAAATGGAAAATGTAGTATTATTATTATTATTATTATTATTATTATTAAAATCTACCTCTTGTTATCTATCTGGTCATACCAAAAAAAAAAAAACGAAAGGTCAAAGTAGTACATAGGCAACCCCGTTAAACCGAAGGCAATTGTGCAGGAACTTTTATTTGGATTAACGGGGTTTTTTATAATCCGAAGTTATTATTAGTCATAAATTAATTCGGATAAACGGGGTAATAAATTTCCTTTATCCATTTTCTGGCAGTGAATTGATTTGGATTCAATGATAAAAAATAATCACTCTTTTTTTTAGAATTTCAGAAACAGTAGATTCATTGACATTATATTTAGATGCAAGCTGGTTGATTTTTATGTTTGTGTCTTTATTTTTTTCAATGTATATTTATATTTTTGTGAGATTGTTATAGGCGCATGTTTTCTTTTTGATACTCCAACTTCTTTTTCAGTAGATTTTTTTTTCCTGTTGGGAAAGTCTACTCTGGTTATTAATCTTTGTACATGTTGTGCGTGAAAATGAAATTTATGTGAATTTGCAATTCACATATTCAAATTAGTAATCAGAATTTCATATCCAAACGCTCCACCCAAAATTTTATAACTTGTATATTATTTCACTTCGGTTTATAAAAATTCGGATTAACGGTGCAATTTTACATGTAAATGGCTTCAAAATTTCTTCAGTTTACGGTTTATAAAGTTTTATCAGTGCCATTCATATTAACGGGGTAATTTACATATGTTTGGCTTTGGTGTTTTAAAATTATTCATTTTAACGGGTTTTCGGATTAACGGGGTTGCCTATGTAATAAGTAAAAATAGTAAAATAATTCCTTATGATTCACGCCAACAACATTTTACTACATACCCTAACTTTCAAGAATTTGTCAGTGCTAAAAAAGTGAATCAATTATCAAGTTTCAAACTTTAAGGGACATTCTGGGAGTAATAATAAGATTTTTGGATCATTTATCATATATTTTTATTAAGGTTTATCTTCCAATATCACAATGGCATTTTTCATGCGAGAATTTGGCAAGAGGAGACGAATATTTTTTTTTTTGGAATACATTTTTACCCCTTGTTTGATTGCAATAGACGATGAAACATTTTGATTTATAATCATTTTAGTATGTCAAAGTATATAAAACCTCCTTTTGAATGTTTTTAATGAATTCAATCTGTTTCGATTCGCATTATTATTGTTAAATATTTTTGGAAAATCAATTCGCATAATTATAAAAACTAAGACTCGCATTATATGTTTTGTCATTTAATTTGATGGTCACACACAATAGGTTTTCCCGGTCTTGTTATGTATATATTATAATGGTTGTAAAAATACCAATTGTACAAAAAAACTCATTTGGAATACAACGAAAATATTTTTTTTCTTTATTGAAATCCAAAAATTATATATAAGTTTCCATATTAATATGGTTATTGTTGATAGAGAGATATTTACACAAAATTTGTTTATAGAAATATATAATAAGCCATCAAAACACTGCGCCACATGATTCAATCTCAACGGTTTTTCGGTTTACATTTGACCCAAAAGTTTCAGACATTCTAAATTCGTTGACTATGAAAAATATACATAATGGCTTCACAAAAAATTTACAATAACTTGTAGTTTGGTTTGGCAAATGTGTTGCGAAGTAGGGATGCTGGAAGGATCCTGCTTCCAAATACATACATAGTCTGTAATTTTTATGCCATGATATCGAAGGCCCCATCTCTTGCTAAAATTGGAATGAAGATCATGATTGAATATTATACATAATACCAGTTGTAAATTATTTTATTTTTACATATTCATAGATACCACAAAAATTTAGAGTTTTTCAAATTATTTGTCTATGTTTTATTCTGTGTCAATGGCTACTAATTCATTATCTTGTTTTTGATTTTGTTAGGTGTCTATCAAGTTCAGGTTCATCAATGTCCATATTATCTGATAAATCTTTTTTTCTCATCTTCGTAATTTTCTTCTTTTTCTTCTTTTTGTTTTCTGGGTCACCATTATCTAAGTAGTCATCATCATCACTATATCATCAGGCAATTCTAAAATTCAACCCTCTGGAATTTCAACAGTTTGTTGATCATGTTTCCAAATTGATTTCTTCATCTTCATTTTGTTCTTCATCAAACTCCTTTTTCCCATAATCAAAATCATGATCAATTAATTTTTGTCTTTTGAGCTTCTATCATGACTTTGTTTGCAACAATGTCATGTTCATACTTTGAATCTATGCCTTTTTTTGATTCATTAATTTCTTTGCTCTCTTCAACATTTTCAGTAGAAATTATCATCCCACATTTTTTATCAGCTGCATAGGATCTGTTTTGCCAACATTTCCCATATGTCCAAATTTCCACCTTCATCATCATTTTTGTCATTTTTGTCTTCAAGATCCACCAATTGAACCTTCAAAGTCATTTTCCATTTCTACACCTTTATCATCATATTCACCACATTCTCTTGATTTGATTCATTTTGTGTTGTTCTTCATCTTCAATTTCACCATTCATGTTTTTGGTACCATCTCCTTGAATATCCATCTTATTTCTCCATTACTTTCTGTTCACATATCTGACATACAATAATCCTTTTAAATATAGTGGTAAAGGAATCACAAAGCACATATGTTATTTATTTAAATATTTATGATGGAAAATGAAATTAGATATAAAATATAAATTATCAAATTATATTGATGTATAAAGGGACGTAATTCTAATCTTTGTAATAGAAACAAAAGTAAATTCATGAATACCTGTTACAATTATGTTGATCATCTGATTTATGTTTTGTATGTGTAACATTACTTATGTAATAGTAATAAAGATAAATTCTGCACGCTTTTCAATTTTTGGTGTATATAGTACTAGCACGGAGCGCAGATGTACGGAATACGGAACCTGTATATATATACTAATATTCGTTCTTGTTGAATATAACCATCATCTGCAATCAATTTCTTGGTATATGGTGAAAACAAGTTTGAATTTCCACTGTTCATTTAATTAGAGATATTCCTTGCGCATAAATGTAACCTAAAATAAGTACGTTACACGAATGAAATGCCCGCCCACCACTCTTCGGTGCCATTTTAGTATTAGCAAACACAGCGATTATTTATATATATATTATAAATAATATAAATAAACCCCCTGCTCCATATCCGTTTTACGAATTAAGGTATAACCATTTTTAAAATTGTGATCTCTATTTTTGTCTTTAATAAAGTACTAAATATGGTTAAATGTTACACTAATGGATCCGATGAACCCATCAATGGATGATAGCCAACCCTGATATTTTTCTTTCATTTCATAGTAGCTATTTTTAGACAAAAAAGATTGGCAACAATAGAAATATATTTCTTCAAAAAAAAAAAAAAAATGGCATCTTCACATTTAATGAATATCAATAATAATATCAATAATAATGAAATGGGTGGTGGTAATCATTTACAAGCATACAACCGAAAAAACGAAACCCCCGAGGATAAAAAAAATAGATTATTAGCTGAAAAAGCTGCTAAAAAACGTAGCGATTCCATTGATAAAATGTTAAAAGCCGAAAAAGAAAGATTAATAAAAACCAAAAGTGCAAAATTACTGCTGCTAGGTAAAACATATGATATTTAAATATGGATTTATATATATGTGTGTGTTATATATACTTACAAAATGTAATAATATCTCACGTAAATATATTTTATTTTAAAGGTTCTGCCGAAAGTGGCAAAACAACAGTTTTGAAACAATTAAAAATTATTCATGGAAAAGGTTTAGAGGAGGAACGTCAATCATATCGTAAGATAGTTCATTTGAATGTGCTTACTGCAATCAAACTATTGATAACTGGACTTCAATACTATGAATACACTTTAAAACCAAAGAATGAACCACATCTTGAAAAATTTCTTAAATTGACTTCAATAAAAGATTCATTGAATCGTGATTCTATTAGTGTTCAGGCTGCTATCAAAGATCAGAAATTGGATGATAGTGCTTTGGACTCGTTTAGTGAATATATTGAATCTGTTAAAGAATTATGGGCTGATGACGCAATTAAAAAATGTTACGATCATGCTACTGAAATTGGTTTACAAGATTCTGCAAAATAGTAAGTGTATTTTTTTATGGGAAAGTTTTTATAATTAACACTTCATTCTCTTTATTCACATCTCATCATTCCACATTTCTATATTCTTATAGCTTTCTAGATAATGTTGATAGAATTTCCAAGGAAGATTATTTACCAACAGATGAAGACATATTACAAGCAAGAGTTAGAACAATGGGAGTGACAGAACATAAATTTGAAGTAAATAATCTAATATTCAGAATTTTTGACGTTGGTGGGCATCGGTCTCAACGACAATTCTGGGCTCCATACTTTGATGATGTAGATGCAATAATTTTTATGGCGGCAATATCAGCATATGATCAAACATTAGAAGAGGATAATGATGTTAATCGTGTGCAAGATTCAATTCAACTATTCGAAAAAATATGTAACCATAACTTATTTACAAATACTGGAATCATTTTATTCCTTAATAAAATTGATATTTTGAAACACAAACTTACAACAACACAAGTCAAAAAGTATTTTCCTGATTATGAAGGTAAAATATTTTTAATGCTTTGATACTATATTATTCTGTATCATTTTGGCGAATTAATTAATGGAAACAATCATATTATTTAGGTGATAATGGATATGATAGTGTTACTGAATATTTTCAAAATTTATTTTTGGATTGTAATGAAAATGAGGATAAACATATTTATACTCATCTCACGCACGCTACAGTAAGTTAAATTCATACGTATTTATGTTGATGTAATATTTTTTAATTACATTATATTTATTTATCTATTTGCAAATACATTTCATACACATTAGGACACAAAATACATGAGAGTAATTGTAGCTTCAGTGAATGATATTGTTATAAAAATTAATCTCGCAAGAATTGGTCTTGACTAATTATTACTTCCTTTTTTACTATATAGACAATACATAGTTTTTTTAAATTTTGTACTTTGTATTTTTTTTTTGTGATTATATTATTAATATATATATATTGGTTGTATTATTTTATTATTATTTATTTTTTGACTCTTTTCTATGTATGGTCAACAAGTAACCTTGTTATGCTAAATCGGAAAGGACAATCATTGTGCTGAAGTCCTGACCGTGATAAAAAGAAAATCGCATTGCCATGCTGCCCAGAAGATTTTCTGTCACAATCATGTGAATTCCCAAAGATCTTTTTCAGCATGTCTTTCTTTACATACCTCTTGTATGACACATTTCATATTTACTATCCTTCCTTTACTATACACCATTCGGTCGGTTACACGTGAATACTCGGTACTACATACCAAATGAGAAATGATCATCATATCCATGCAATATAAATTGTTTTTGGACAGTCTGATGGCCAACCCTTATTTTTGGGGAATAAATAAATCGGCCCATATATTTTAAAAAATTTTTCTTACAATAAATTTTATAATGTTCATAGTTAAAACTCCAAAAGAAGTTCCAACTTTAGGATCTAGTGTTGTAAAACTACAAAGCAATATTAAGAAACATATAAAGAGAGACATTGTGGGTTCAGGAGGTAATTATTTGAAACAAAAAAGACTATATATATATATATGTATATATATATAATTTTTAAAAATTATTTTTTGCACTAGTTAAAATACTTGATCGTAAAGATTATCAAAGTTTTGCACCAACTTATGATTCAAGTGACTCAGTCTTTTCATTTGAAAATACAATGTTGGCGGAATCTTTTAGGAATCATGGCCAAAATATTGATGATGATGTTGATGTTTATGATAAAATGGATGAAGATATAGTTATGAATGAATATCATAATGAAAATCAAAAAGATGAAAATGGTGATGATGAAAATAACGATGATGATGGTGATGATCATGATGATGAAAAACCCAAGAAAGCATTAGAATCAAAATCAGATGATCAAGTCATTACACTCCCAAATAATAATAATAGTATTAATATTGATGAAAAGACAGGTGCTGAAGATCACGAAGAAGATTTTGAAGAAGACTTTGATAAATTATTGGACGAAAATTCAAAGTTACATGCTCATTTGATAAGCTTACAAAAAGAAAGATTTCTAAAGAATCCTAGTGAAATATCTGATATTGAAATTGAAATTGGTAATATATTAAATTTGATTTTTATTTATTAAGTAGTTTATATAAATATATAAATTTATTTATTTATTTATCTTTCTTTTGATAAAGAGCAAAAATTACGTAATAACTTGGTTAAGTTATTTGGTGATGTATCACCGAATGATCTATTAACACCTTTCAGTATTGAAAAAACCATGGATTCGTTGACGACATGTGAGCCATTGGTTAAAGGAAAATTTCCACCAAATTCATATCCTGTTAAAGTGTTGCCATCACAAGTTTCCAAAGAAATAGTATCAACGACTCAATCATACAATAATAATTGGAAACAGCAACAAATTTCTTTTCAACGATACCATCACAATCTTCGATCTGCTAGTAGAAAAATGACCAGCACAACTGCTGCTTCTAATAATGGATATTATCAACAACAGCAGCAGCAATATCAACAACAACAATACTCATCTAATTATAACACATATTCAAATAATAACAATTATTATTATCCTGGTTTGTAATCACATCATATCAGAATTACTAACTGACTGTTTGTTTCTTAAACATTTTCCTTAATTTGTAAATATTCTCCTATATTTAGAAAAATATCATTAGAATACATTATTTCTTTTCTAATATTTAATTAATAATAATAATAATGAAAATAATAAATAAATTCTTAAAAAAAAAAACTGGTTAAAGATCTTCACTGTAAAATTTTTCTTTCCGCATACCATCCTCCTTTTTACCCAGAAGACTATTTCCCCTTCTGTCACTCTGAATTCTTTTATTCCTAATTCAATAATACAATGTCCCAAACAATTCCATTGTTGTAACTGATCCTAACCCAAAGCCTGCTGATCTGTTAAACAAGCAAGCCCACCAAAAGCACAAGGTGCTCCAGTATCTAATCCAACTTTCATTATTCCATGACTAATACTCCAGTACAAACGACTGTATCATATCTTACAACATAACTGTTCCCAGGAATAATATTTTTTTGCAGCAATAGGTAATTCATATGATCCAGAAACAGATTCAGTTGTGATGTTTTATCTATGAATTATATTGTGAAGTCATGTTCTTAATTATTCCATTAACTAATAATGCAATATAATAACAATAACATGTAAACTCATTAGGTGCTATAATAATGATAATGATAACGGATAATTAGATTAATGATTTGCTCGTTTGTGTATTATATTAATATTATTGCATTTTTTTCTATGCGTTACAATTTCCGAGAAAAGGAGTAATAATAACACCAAAAAAGAATGTTAAAATTCAATTCCTTCGTCTGGATCTGGGTAATAATGCAGTTATGATTCCACCAATCTCTCACTAAATTTGGTTAATGTGACATATATTGTTATACGATAATTTGATTTTGGTACATGAACAGGAATTGGTGTACCATTGTTATACAAAGCATTAGGAGTAAATTTTGGATCATTATATATAAGATGGTGAATCTGATCTAATTGTTGATTGTGCTAAAGGTGCAACTGGCATCGTATTAATATTATTATTATTAGGGTAATTTTGTAAAATTGTTCTATTTAAGTTTGTTACTGATTATTGTTATTACTATTGTTGGCTGTTGTTCTTGTAAATCTAGATCTATTCAACATAACTGAACTGTCTGATTCAATGGTAGAACTTGAGAAAGGTGATTTTAGAGGCAGAGATGACGGTGATGATGATGTGCCAATATTTGTAGTAAATCTATCAGTAGACGAAGGTGTTGTTGATTAAAATACGGAGGATGATAAAAATCTGGAAGGAGGTTGGAATACAGAAGCTGATTGGGATATGGAAGATGTTGAAGATAAACAAAATGATAGTGGTGGTGTTGGTGTTGTTGTTGTTGTTGTTGTTGCTGCTGCAAAGATGGGAGATGTTTGTGACCAAGAAAGTGACGACGATGTAATAGTCGATGGTAATATGGCAGATGAAGTAGAATTAAAATTTAGGCGGAAAAAATTATTTAGAAATAAGTTATTTATAAATCTTGAATGTTTTTTTCTTCTTGTTTATTTGTATAATCATTTTATAATGTAAAAATTTATTCATATTATTAAAAATATTATATATCATCACTTATATTATTTATACTTACCAAAATGTAAAAATAATCGTAGCAAAAGATTTACGGTCTCTCTACTCTATCAATAATGACCACTTTTCAAAAAACAAAACAAAATATTAGTTCATACATATAGACAAACGTATAAATAATAATAACGGGAATATTAAAAAATACATATATTGTTTATCACCTATTAAAAATGGTTGAACTAATCATTAGAATTACTAAAAAAGTACTACTTGAAGTGATGATTTGTATTGAAGCATAATGGCATTTATTTTCAGGAACCCTCTTTCTGCTATAAGTTTAAGTTCCAAAGGAGATAAATAATACGTTTTAGAGGGTGAGCCAAGAGAAGATTGTGATTGTGGTCTTGATATTGGAACATGAGGTGAGTCTGCAACTCGATTTCTTAATGTCGATTCTGGTGTGCTTCCTATTATCAGTGAACCATTTGCCCTACCATTCCAAAGATTATATTGATTTGATAAATGTTGATTATTTATTTTTAAAATAGAAATCCAAAGATTTATTATCGTTTAGCCGATCAATTTTGAAAAAAGCAAAATTTTTTTATTATATATGATTGATTTTAGGGTAGAATGTACAAATTGCATAATTTAAATCCAACAGCCTTTCCCTCCTCTTCCTGTTAAATAAAGCATTTATCTGTTATTGTATATTTTCCTTCCAAGATATTTTCAAGATTAGCGGATAATGTGTATCAGGATCATATCCGTTTTCATTCATCAAATTCTGTTGATGTATTTTCCATACAGTTTCATCATATCTTTCTAATAATTCAACACAAAAATTATTGATGGTGTTTAACTGTGCGATGAATGTGTTTAGACTATTTCCACGGTGTGGACCACAAAATACTATCAGATTTTCATTTGTTGATGATGATGATGATGATGATGATGATGATATGTGAAGAATAGATTGCAGAACATGGATAAGATGTGGATGTGTTTGTTTATCATAAGTGCTAAGTTATTTATTTATGATGATGTTGAAAAAAGTTAGTCGTGAAATTCTGTTTTAAATTTTGTAAATAAAAATAAAAGATTTACCAATCAGCACATATAATTATATCATATTTTTTCTTGTAAGATGTATCTTTATTCCAAAATATTTGTTCGACGTTCACGTTTGTATCAGCAAAAAGATGTTTATTTGCCTTTACAATTTTTTCAATATGTATATCATAAATATATAATTAGTTAAATCTAATACGGAGCAGTATAATAAAAGTCGTGAAAAATGAAATTAAAAAGGATATTTTTTATACAGTCTGGATTTCCTTCGGTTAATGTGACACTTTTAGGTTTACATTTTGCTGCGATTGTTAAACCTGCCAAAGCACTCATACCACTACCTAATTCACATATTGATTTATTACTTTATATAATTATTGTTGAGATTTTATTAGTTAGTTTAAGGTAAAGCTCTGCGCAAGCCAGCTCGAGAGGAGCTTTAATTTAAAGAATTTTTCATCATAAAGATTTTTTGATTAATCCAATCAATGAATTCATTTACCTAAATAATTGAGGATTTTTTATACAATAATAAGCCAAAATCTCTTCAGCAGGCCATATACATATATTACCAGTATTCAAAAATCCCGAATATCTTGAAGTAAAAGTTGATTTTATGTCTATTTTCTTGGGAACTTTAATTCTATTTATTTTGAATTTTTAATTTAAAAAATATATATATGATATACATTTTTTTAAAAAAGCAAAAATAAAAATAAATGCTTACAACACATTTAAAACAATATTATCAAATAAATCATAAGCAAACCATTCTTCATTTCCTTCTTCAAAAAAAAAAGTTTTGTCATGATTAATTGATAATTTTTGTTTAGTAAATAAATTGAATTCTTGATGATTTCTTTTAGATACTTTTCCAAGAATTTCATCACTAGATGAATTTGAAGAAAGTATAAATGATTGTAATAATTTCCATCTTTCTTTTGCTTTATCTTGTTCTATCGACGATGACATTTTTACTATGCCGCTATTCTGTAACACATCTTACGTCACAAGAGATCATAAAAAAAAAAAAATTTTTGGCTGTCAACCAAAACAGTATGATAAAACATAACCATGTTTTAGAGACTTTTTATAAGATATATATACCTTTAAGTAAATGATAAAAAGTTTTTCCTTTAAACGTGAATAATAATAATAATCCTTTTTGAGGTTAATGAACGCATACATTGATATTGATTAACCAATATTTTAAAAAATTTAGCTTACTAATTACATATTTATTTATTTTTTTCCAGATGAATTCAATAAATATTTATGAAAAAGTGGTGGGTTGTAAATGCTCTCTGGACTTGTTCCACCTGAAGCTCATAAGCTTTGCATAATTTTTTGGGCTTGATGACTTTGATGACTTTGTCAAATGCTGAGAATATGGTGAATCCAATTTATTCAACCTTTAAAAAATTATTCACTTTAAAGGTTGATTTTTCTGGTGCGATTGAATTTATCCAAGGCTCACACGCATACATTGAATTTCTTAAAGATAAGGGTTTGGTTTATCCAATCACTTTCTATATGTTTTGAACTCGGAATCAACACCAATAAGTAACTTCATTTCAAACAGAACTACATTGATACCTTCATGAACATTGACCCTATCAATAATTTAATAATCAATAGTATTAATGAGCATCACACAACATTCATTTGATAAAAAGTCAGATATATATATAATAAATAATACTGATAATATATTATGTAAAATGGGATTGATTGAAGATTTATTAGCAGCTCCACGAATTTTCTTGGTAAACAAAGATAATTATTAAATTAAATTATGATGAGATTTTTTTAAATTTTGTGCAGTTCACAATGGCAGTATTTTTCAAGATACACATCCATCCATCCATCCATTACTTTTTTAATTGTATTAATTAGAATTACCTTTTTTCAAAGAATTTCTAAAACCAGGAAACATTACAAGTCAATAATTAGTTTCTTGATTATTACATTTAATCATTTTTAAATAAATTAGATAATGCATACATAGTATTTTAAAAAGTGACCCTTGGCATTAAAAAATTGACAATGATGTGTATCGTTTTGTTTATTATTATTATATTAATTCAGCCAAAAAAAATTTTTCTTTGACAAAGAAATTTTTGGTGCAGTAATAATGAAGATATGTTCCCGATGCCAAAAAGGACTTTTACCATACATTAACGATTCTGGAAGATCATAAACGACAATATTGTTAGTTTGTAATATACCATTTAATTGTTTATAAATTAAATAATACTTGTAAATAAAATTTCGATGGTATACAAATTTAAGTGTAACTGAATGAAATCGAAACCAAGTAGTCTACGATGTTTGGATTCTGTACACTGAGACAATAGATACCAGATGGTGCACTAGGCCAAGAAACGTTAACTGTGCCACATACTAATACATGAGATTCGTCTTGAAAGTTTCCACATTGAAAGTATTCGACCCCGTTACTTTGGAAAGACACAATAAGTCCAATAAAGTCTTTGGTTGCTGTCATATTTCCGGGTGTAATTGCACCAAAGCTAGTTGTGGGAGCATCTGTTGGCTTTGGGTCAAATGCCACATTGAATGCTACGGAAGAAAAAAATACGAGTAATTAAATATAAAAAGAAGAAAAGTGAATGAATGAATTGTTCGCTTACAAACAGATGTAGCAGCAATAGAAGAGCACAGACTCCAACTACCAAAATCTTTTGGTATCGATACTACGCCAGTATTAGTTATTCTACGGACTAGTTCGCCATAGGTCGTCTACGCAGTTACAAAATGAAATCACTTTTAAATAATTATAATTGATTAATAAACAAGCTTTCTTTTAATTACCTGTAACGAGTTATTAAGGAATAACAGTAACCCAATCAAAATTGTTAAAACTTTCATATTGACAAAAGTGTTTTGGATCTTTTACAAAATCTTGTGGTTATAAACCTATAAACCACACGTATTTATACGTTTAAAAATAATGTTTATGGGCGCACTAAATAGATACACTACGTTATTGTTTTGAAATTCAGGCAGGGTACGGTGTTGCGGAGGGTCCGCGTTCTAACCAAATTTGAAAATTATCTGCAAAAAAAAATATTTTTGTATATACGGCGCAGTAAAATTTCAATGAAATTTTTTCGAAAAGGATTCATTCACCATATTCTTCTAGAAGTTAATTAGTTCATCTAAATGAAAATGTATGCATAATATTGACGTCGTCAGGACAGTGTCTCCTAAAAGCTTGGTTTTTTCGTATGAAGATAAATCTTTAAACGATAATTTTATTATTATTATTAATTATTATTATTATTATTAATTATTATTATTATTATTATTATTACATATGTATTACTAATTTTAGTTTGCAAAATCAGAAATTACACATCCAAACTCGATAAGTCGGACATTTATTTATATTATAAAGTACTTTAAACAATTGATTGCTGGTCCGACTTATCGAGTTTAGATGTGTATATTAAACTATAAATAAAATACGAGTTTACTCGGTATTAAATGTAACCGAAACTGATATATCGACATTACTTGGATTTCCGATAGTGAGACAATATCTAGCAGCTACTGTCACGAAAGTGAGAATGGTGGAAAGTTGGTTACGGAATATTCCGGTAGTAAAGGCTGCGTCTGAAATTTTCCACAATGAAAATAATCGATGCCAGCAGTACCTAATATGGCGGCAAAAAGCCCGGCAAAGTATTTGGTTGTTGATGTACAGTGTGTTGCGAAAAAAATTGCGCATAAATAAAAACATATATCTCAACAATCACGCATTGAAATTAGATAAAAATAGATTCATTTGAAAGCCCATTATTTATTTTATGAGATGCAAAAAAATTAACAAGAAATTCTATCTCCATTTTTTTGTAATATTAATTCACAACGATTTTTCATAGATTTAATTAAATTTTGTACAGTTTCTTGGGGGATTTTATCCCATTCTTCAACCATAAATTGTTTCAACTCACTAGTATTTCCCGGCATTCTTCTTTCTACATTATTTTTTACGATCTGCCACATATTTTCAATGGGATTCAGATTGGGACTGTTGGATGGCCAGTCTAAAACATGAATATTATTTTGGGATAAAAAGTTTTTTGCAACACGCGAAGTGTGCTTAGGATCATTATCTTGTTGCAAACGCCAGTTTCTACCATACAGCTGTTGAGCAGCAGGAAGAAGCTGGTTTTGCAAAATATTCACATAAAAAGGACCATCCATTATTTCTGTAAAGCAAAACAAGGGGGTTTTGCCATTCAATGAAATTCCACCCCAAGCCATTACCTTTTGTCGTGATTTTGGTAATCTTCTAACTGGTCTTTCTCCATTTTTATACCATCTTGAAATTTTATTGCGAAATAAATCGAAGGCAGTCTCATCTGTAAAAATGGTATAATCCCAGTTATCATTCAAATGAGTTTGTGCCCATGTTTTTCGAGCATCAATATGACTAATGGTAAGCATTGGGGTGGAAAGTGGTATGGCACTATTATACCCTTTTTTTGCCATGTGTCGCCAGATATTAGTATGTGAAATAGATATATTATGTGTATCTTGAATTCGAACTGCAAGTTGGCGTGTTGTAATTGCAGAGTTATGGTGAACTAATTGCCCGATTGACCGCGAAACCGTTTGTGTAACCTTAGAACGGCGACCATTACCGCCAATATGTTTAATAGTACCTTTTTCTTTGAGTTTTTTGATATTGTACTGAATGGTACGAAGGGAGATCTTTGTTTTTTCATGTATTTCTTTGGCAGTACAAATTCCATTTAGCCAGTAATGTAGAATTGTTTGACGTTGCGCCTCAAGTTCTTTATTGACCATGTTTGCAAGGTTTAAACGAAGTAAACAATGAAGTAGGAAGATTTTCTTTTTTGTAAAGATGATTTAAGAGAAACGAATAAACATTTACAAAAATGGTAATCATGTAAACAAATGTATTTTTTTATTTATTATAAAAACCAATTTTATAATTCACGCGCAATTTTTTTCGCAACACACTGTATATGTGCCAGTTGTGGCTTTAACTGTACCAAAACCTTCTGTGGCAACATTTCCTACTTTATTAATCTCCACTGAGAATGCTATGGAGGAAAAAAAAATGAAACAATCAAGTATAAAAGAAAATTAAGAATGAATAAATGAAATGTATGTGTTCGCTTACAAAATAGTTGTGGCAGTTTCAGCACCGTATATCTTCCAAGTAGCAAGATCTTTTGGTATCATTCTATTCCGGTAAGAGGATCCCTACTACTACAGACCAATTCACCATAGGTCTATTATTGTATATATAATCAAAATTTTGAAATTCTGATTGGCTAATTTGAATTTCACATGTGAGTTGCAAATTCACGTATTGCCATTTAGAAACCACATCAACATTAACCATTAATGCAAAAGATTGTCATAAACCACATGATTTCCGCTATAACAAACATAATTCATAAGGTATGTTCTATATTAAAAGTCCATTATCCACAATAAAGAGATTTTATTAAGAAGTCCACTATAACAAATAAATTTTATTATAAAGAGAATTGGGGAAATAAAAAAAGTCCACTATAGGCAAAATCCACTATAATGAGATCCACTATAACAAGCTTTGACTGTACTTTTGTTATGTGGTATTTTGCGTAATTATTAAAAAACCTCGTCCAGATACTTTTTGGAGGGTAGTGTATTCCTACAAATTATTTTTTTATTTGGATTTTAAAGGGTTGAGGAATTAACATATTTACATGTTTTTAGAAAAGAATTCGTTCATTTAGGTAAGGATCACACAAAATGTAAATATCTATGAGAAATATTAAAAGTAAATTATGTTTAGCCAAACACTTAAAAAGCCGTTTGATTATATTGCTAAATCATTTGTTTATCTTTGCTTTTTACTTATATAGTTAGTGATAAAGAAAACTTCCATTCTTGGCTTAATGATATAACCTTTTATTAATTGCAAATAATGTATGCATTGTAATTGTAATCTCTATTCACTCTGTATTTATTAAATTGTTCAATTAAATTAACTTTGTTATTGATTAACTTGATAATACTACTACTATAATTATTAGATACAGGATTCTTAACTTTTAGGAAAACAAACATTAACATCAGAAAAATAATTATTGGTGTGCATATTTTTAATTTTCTTATACTTATTAAATAATATAAGATTATTTTTATAGATTATTATATTAAGCTATATTAGCCAAATAATCTTTAACTTCTGAAGGAGACAATTTTCTAAATAATGGTTGTTCCTTGCCTTCCATAAATCCTGTTGTATCACCACCAATAATTCCAATTTCAATAGAATTTTCAGTCATTTGTCCTTCAAATCCTTCTTTTAATGTTAAAATTGAAGTATGAACTGCATCTTCCAATCCAATATCATCATTATATCTAATACAAATATTATATATAAATATTATATGCAATAAATATATGTTTATAATTCATAAAAACCATTTAATACCGTTTTTCCAAGAAAGTTTTTGCATTAACCATATTTTTTCCAATAGCAGATGCTTTCCATGCCCAGTATGATCCTGAAGGATCTACTTGATATAATGCTGGACCAGTTTCATCATAACCCACAATAAGAAGAGATACACCAAATGGACGTACACCACTTTAAATATATTTTCATATTAATATAAACATAAATACAATTTATTACAAAATAATAATATTTAAAATCTTTAAATTTTTTTTTACATACCCACTTTGAGTAAATTCTTGCATTACACTAGCAACTTCTTTAACCAATATTCCTGTTGGTGGATACTCGTTATATATTCTTTTATATTTTTGAGCTGCCTTTCTTGCCTTTGTCAATAGTACTCTAAAGTCTGGTCCCATTCCAGAATAAACAATACCAATATTTGGACAAACATTTGCAACTTTTTCAAGTGATGAATCATCAATCAATGGTGAAGCTGTTTTTTTCTCAGTAGCAACAACAACACCATTTGTAGCTAATATTATTTATTATGCATAGTATATTTAGTAAATTTCTTTAATAAGGTAAAAAGATTATTTTGCTCAAAAAAGGAAAGCCATATTTTTACACACCTTTAATACCAATGCTTGTTACACCTTGAGCAACCGCATTCAATGCATACTCGATTTGAACAAGCTTGCCCGAAGGTGAAAAAGTTGTTAATGAAAAACTAGTTTAAATAATTTAAAAAATATTATATCATTTATAATTACAACAGATTAAAATGAATTTTTAGAAATGATAAATCTTTTACCTATATCTATCCGACATTTTTAAAAAAAATTACAAAAGAATGAGATTTCTATTGTGTCACAATTTTAAAATAATACTAATACATTAATGCTAATACGTAAGCTCTTCCCAACAAATATAAAATGAAGACACCGTAGAAACTCCAGTTACTCCATGACTATGAAATAAGGCCTTCACTTTTACTTTTACAACATTACCATCAATGAATTTGGACTTAAAAAATTGAATCAGATTGCTCATGAAACTTGTTTTAAAAAATTTTTTTTGTAAAATCTTTAGGATAAAAAAAACGAGTACGCAGAACAGCCAGAGAGTTAAATTGGAGTGTAGTAAAAATAATATAAATAAATAAATAATGAAGAAAAAAAATTTCATCTTAAAAGAATTAGCTAGTAATTTCAATAATATGGATATGGAGGATATGAAAAGTATTGTAAATGATGATAGCAATGTTGTTGGTATCAATGTAGATAGTCAAAGCACTCTAGTCTTATCCTCAAAACAACAGTCTATTTGAGGTAGATATTGGGTATAATCATTAGAACCACTCAAATTAATTATACAAGAAAAAGGGGATAAATTGTTTATTGTTGCTTCTCCTTTTTCCGCCAAAAAATTATTATTAGAAAAATTTTTTTACAGATTGCTTCCTTTGTTGTTTAGCACATTTTTTGTTCTTGTGCTTTTATTTGCATTTTTCTTCCTCTTATAAAAAGTGTTAATATCCAATTAAACAAATACATAGATAGTAAGATAAAATCAATCCCAACCATTTTTACATGATTTCTAATCTTGCATATTAACAATGTTTTCTATAGTTACATAAACGTGCATCAACACTTGATCCTTTTTTTCTAACAGTGGCTTTTGGAGGTTTTGGTTTATTTTATCTTGTACTTCAGGTCAGTGTTGGCAATGACAGTTATTTGACTTTTGAACTGTCAGTTAAATAACTGGTTCAAAAAATCATTTGAACTTGTGAACTTTGGTTCAATGACATAAATTGATTGATTTATGTGCACAGAGCACATTTTCTAACCAATTTTGGAAATTATCTGCAAATAATTAACAAATTGGGTTAGATAATATGCACTATCACCTATATCTTTTTATTGTAAAATATGATTTCCTCTAAGCTGTTCCTGTGTACAGAATTGATAAAATTTTAA